ATCTGCATTTTTCGCTCAACACCTGCAACACTAACATCCAAGTTTAGCAGCTTAAGGGCCCAGAAGGCCTTGTGCTCTAGCTCCACGGGCAAATGGCATGCCTTTCCATAGACCAGCCGGTACGGTGAGGTACCAATGGGCGTCTTGTAGGCAGTGCGATATGCCCACAGAGCATCATCGAGCTTGGTGGACCAATCCTTGCGGGATAGGTTCACCGTCTTCTCCAGGATACGCTTGAGCTCCCAGTTCGTCAGCTCGGCCTGACCACTTGTTTGAGGATGGTAGTCCACGGACACCTTATGAGTTACACCATAGCGAGACAACAATTTATCGAACTGACCCTGGAAATGGGTGCCTCGGTCGCTTATGATGGCTCTAGGTGTCCCGAACCGGGAGAATAGCTGCTTCAGAAAACCACAAACACGTCTAGCATCATTAGTGGGCAAAGCTTGCGCCTCAGTCCACCTAGAGACGTAGTCAACAACAACAAGGATATAGGTATTACCAAAAGATGGAGGGAAGGGGCCCATGAAGTCGATACCCCAGACATAAAAAATCTCACAAGTTATAAACACATTCTGGGGCATCTCATCACGGGCAAAGATGTTACCTGACCTCTGGCATCGGTCGCACCTGCGTGCGAAGGCGTCTGCGTCCTTGAAGAGCGTGGGCCAGTAGAAGCCCGATTGGAGCACCTTCCTCATCGTGCGGTTCCCTCCGTGGTGACCGCCAGCAGGTCCTTCATGACAGTGAGATAGAATGCCCCTCCATCTCACTCTCCATAACACATCGACGGATGATCCCGTCGGCTCCGATCCTGAAGAGATGAGGGTCATCCCAGTAGTAGTGCTTCAGGTCGGAGAAGAACTTTCTCTTGGCGTGAGTTTTCATCCCCTTGGGTAGCTGCTGGCCCACAAGATAGTTCGCAAAATCAGAATACCAGGGGGTGACACTCTCCACCAGGCACATCATCATCAGTCTCTCATCTGGCAAGGAGTCGTTGATCTCCTCCTCGAGGTTGTCCGCAGGGGGCGCGTCCAACCGGGAGAGGTGATCGGCAGCAACATTCTCCGCTCCCTTCTTGTCCCGAATCTCAATATCGAACTCCTGCAGCAGTAAGATCCATCGTATGAGCCTAGGCTTGGCATCGGCCTTGCTCATCAGGTATCGAATCGCGGAGTGATCTGTATACACGGTCACATGGGACAGGACCAGATAAGGACGAAATTTATCGAAGGCAAACACCAACGCGAGCAGCTCCTTCTCCGTGGTGGTGTAGTTCTCCTGGGGATCATTTAGAGTCTTCGAGGCATAGTAGATAGATCGGAAATGTTGATCTCGCCTCTGCCCCAACACAGCTCCAACAGCAAAGTCACTGGCATCGCACATAAGCTCAAATGGCAGGGACCAGTCAGGAACAACCATGATAGGAGCTTGAGTGAGCTTCTCCTTCAAGGTCGTGAAGGCCGCTGTGCATGCATCAGTGAACTGGAAGGGGGCATCCTTCTCTAGAAGCTTAGTCAGGGGCAGAGCAATCTTCGAGAAATCCTTGATGAACCGCCTGTAAAACCCTGCATGACCAAGAAAACTCTGGATCCCCTTAACATATGTAGGAGGAGGCAGCTTGCTGATAATCTCGATCTTCGCTCTGTCCACCTCAATCCCCATCTTAGAGATCTTATGCCCAAGAACTATGCCTTCTCAAACCATGAAGTGACACTTCTCCCAACTCAGTGCCAGGTTCGCTTCTTCACACCGTTTAAGGACAAGCTCTAGGTTATGGAGAAAGTGAGAGAATGAGTCTCCATAAACCGAGAAATCGTCCATAAACACCTCCATAATCTCGCCGACCAGACGGTCAAAGATAGCGAGCATGCATCGCTGAAAAGTGGTCGGGGCATTGCATAGCCCGAATGGGATCCGCCGGTAGGCAAAGGTGCCGAAGGGGCTGGTGAAAGTGGTCTTCGCCTGGTCCTCCGGTGCAATAGGGATCTGGAAGTACCCGGACATCCCATCCAGGAAACAGTAGAACTGATGATGACTGGCAGCTTATTCCCCTCCCGGAGAAATGCATACTCCAAATGAGGAGGGAGGGGCTTAAGCTCCAGCTCTTGTGGTTCCTCCAAGGAAGTAGCGATGCGGGTGGAGGATGAGATCTGTTTGAACAGCATTCGCCCTCCAATAAGGGGCCACTCTCCAACTCGGCCAACTGCTCCGCTAGCTGCGGCTCCTGCAATGCTTGCTCACCTAGAAAAATACAACGCTCAAGAGCATCGTCAGTACCCGCACTCGATATAGCAAGTGCGGTCTCAAAATCAGTAAGCATATCACAATAATCTATGTCATCATGCAAATGAGAGTGTTTCCCATTATCAGACACAGAGAAAGTAGCCTGTTCATCACCAGCACGCAGAATCAATTTACCACTATGCACATCAATAAGCGCCTTGGCGGTGGCGAGAAACGGTCTACCCAAAATCAAAGGTACATCCACATCCTCATTTATATCCAAAATAACAAAGTCAACAGGATATGTGAATGCACCCACATTAACAAGCAAGTCCTCAATGATACCCCTAGGATGCACGATAGAACGATCAGCTAACTGAATGCTCATCCTAGTAGCTCTAGGTTCACCTAGGCCTAGCTTCTTAAACAATTTATAAGGAATGACATTTATGCTAGCGCCTAGGTCCGCCAAGGACTTTCCTACATGCATGCTGCCAATAACAAGAGGGATAGTGAAACTCCCTGGGTCTTTTCGCTTCTCGGGCAGCTTGTTCTGCAGGATAGCAGAACACTCCTCGCTCAGCATCACTGTCGAAAGATCCCCAAGTTTCTTCTTGTTGGTGAGGAGGTCCTTCATGAACTTGGCATACACGGCCAGCTTGTTGGTGAAATCACGGGCATGCTTTTGTGGGGCACGGCCGTGTTTTTCCTCAACCCTGTCCGTGTTTTAAGCTTGTGTTTTTCAACCCCATATCAAGTCTCGGCAGTAAAAGCACGGCCTAGGAACACGGCCGTGTTCTGCTTTAGGTGTGCCCGTGTTTTGGCTCCAGCTTCACCGAATGACTTCCGAATGCCCCGAAACTCGTGCTTAGCCTTTCCTTTGACGCCTGGGACATGAAATATGACAAAATAGCACAACCCGGCGTCAAATAGGCCAAAATACACGACTATGCCCCTCAAACGGATAAGAACTAGGGGCGCAAATATGTGCAATTACATCGTTATCAGAAGCCCATCAAAGTCTTGTGCACTTAGTAAGCTCCTCCAGATGTAGCACGACTTGCTGCCTAGACGAGCGTCCAAAAAAAAAGCAACTTTTATGATATTTGGCCGCTAATAACTTGGATATCAGTGACTCGGGGCGAAGATGAAGTGACCATAGTTGCTTCGCAAGAAGCACCATGTTAAATCCCCGGAGATCTCTGAAACACACTCCACCGTCTTATTTTAGAGTAACTAGCTCTTTTCGTATGATCCAATGAGCTCTTTTCTCCGCATTTTTCTGTTCCCACCAAAAATTGGTGATCATACTGTGAACCTCATCAATCAGACTATCTGGAATTTTGAAGACCGACATCGCATAAGTGAGTTGTGCTTGTTCAACCGATTTGATGAGTACTTCCCGTGCGACTACCGACATCATTCTCTCTTTCTACCCTTTCAACTTCGATCTCACCCGCTCCTTAAGACTCGCAAACAAGTCCTTCTTGGCTCATCCCACCTCAGTGACTATAGAATTTAATAAACCAAATGTAGGGAGTGCTATAGAAAATTCAACAGAAAAAATATATGATACCAATTAAGTATATAAACATGCGATCAATTAATGATAAATAAAATTGACTAATATTCTTTTTTATAGTGAAATTAATCACATGTATCATATACAACATAAAATTGACTACTATTATATTTAAATTTAGATAAAATCATTAATGAGTTGAGCTCGAACCAAACTAATGAATTAAGCCGAGCCGAAGAGAACATGAGCTACGATTTTGGTAAATGAGTTGAACTTGAATTCAACTGGTTAATTAACGAGCATATCTCGAATTATATCAATACTCACTACAAGAAACTGCTCCTTTTGCGACGAATTCTATTGCGACGACACAAAATTTGTCGCAGAAAGTGAACATTATGCAACGAATTTTGTATTTTCGCCGCTGATTGTGCTAATATTCTGCTGTAGGTGGGGTATAGGATTTTGCGACGATCATTTGTTTTTCACGACGAACGATTTCGTCGCAAAAGGTTTTGGGGGCTTTCTACGACAGTTGTCTGCCGTCGCAGAATATTTGGATATTTTCTGCGACGCTTATCTTCATCGCAGATGTTTGGGACTTTTTGCGACGAATATTTGGCGTCGCAGAATATGTGAAAACTTCTGCGACGAAATGCGTTTCGTCGTAGAATATTTTGAGCTTTTCTGCGACACTTATATTTCGCCGCAGAATGTTCGAGACTTTTTGCGACGATGGTCTTCCGTCGCAGATTGTTTGAGTAATTTTGCGAATTAAGAATATTTAGTGTATGAGTACCTATGCACATAACTAAGTTAAAAAACTTATCGCATTCAATTGATTTTTTTTTTCGTATTAAGAAAGTTTATTTTATAAAAGACAACGAAAACATATAATTATGTTATAGATAAATCTTAACATTTTATTTAAATGTCTCTATTGAATCATATGTGGTTTGTAAATTAGTTGAAGATAACCTTTGATGAGCTCCGGTTCCATAAACTCTACATGATTAAGTATGTATGAGATTTAGACGTACAAGGATAATTGGAATTGATTTTAACCGAATGTTTAGGGTTTTTGAAATCTTAAACTTGATTAATGGGCAAAGCAAAATGAAAAGTAAAATGTAATAGATGTTTCAAAGTAGCGAAGTTGGATTAAATATTTGTCTGTGAATTGATATTGGCTGGAGGTTAGCTGTTCGAATCTCCAAACATATATTTTTTGGTTTTGCCACATGTCTCTATTGAATCATATATTTTCTTTTAGTGACTCGACTAAACTCTGCCTCTTGTTGCAACCTTATTCGTGAAACCATATACATTGTCCACTTCTATAATATAAGTCAATCATTACTAGCTTCTCATCATGATTTTTCCTCCAACCACTGGGAATGGAACAACAAGAGATCTTACATCGTTGCAACCCAAAATGAGGCGTCAATTCATTACACAAAAATCACACAGCCGAAGAAGCAGTGGACTGGAGACTGGAGAGCGATCAGATCAGATGTCAATGAAGTGGCGGCACTCGCGGGGGTGGCGCTTGGGGTCGTGGCAGTAGTTGTAGATCATGTGGGTCTGCCGAACCCATCGCAGCAGCTTCTTCCCGGCCTTGTCCAGCCCTTGGGTCAACGGCCATTGCGGCCTGTTCTTCCTCCCGACCGAGCCCGCCATCGTCTGGATCTCCAGGTTTCTGTACGAGGCCGTGAATGGGGCCTCGTTCCAGTCCGTTTTCACGAGCCCGCCTCGCGTGGCCCATTTCTCGCCGTTCCAAATGCTGGCCTTGATCTTCATGGGCTTCGTGTTCGGGTACGGCACTCCCACGGCTTCCCTGTTGTTGAACACTCGAACTGGGATGTCGTCCACAAACACGCTGCACGTCCGCGGCCAAATTAAACGCACCGCATTGCAAGTTAAAAGGCATTTTCAACGACAATTTCGTAGGTAAGTTATTATATATGAACACGAAACCTTGTCATTCAATTCTGAATTCTGAATTGTTCATTCACAATCGGATTAGGACAAATTAGAGTCCCAAAATATCCTATTACCGCATGCAAGAAAGACCTGAATCCTGACAATTTCTGTGATTTTAATGAAATGTATCGATATAGAGAGGATGATGATGAGATGTAGCTAGATTGTTTGAAATCTTACATGATGATGAGAGGATTCCAAAGAATGGTGTATTTGTGGAAGTCCTGTCTGGGGTCGAACCAGAGACTGAATTCCTGCTCCCTATGACCCACCTCGTGGGTGTACACATTTGTATGCAAGGTGTAAGGGTCGTCGGTCAAATTCCCCAAGAACTCCAGATCGATCTCTTCATGTTTTTCTGCCGTCGTCAACTTTTGAGGTGCCCGATTCCGCAGTTCGAACAATTCGATCATGAGTTCATTGACCAACAAAATGAACAAAAAAAAAATGTTAATTTCATTATTAATTATTATTAAGAGATGAAAATTACGTAGAATGTTGTGACGATTCCGGCGGTATTTCCAGGGGGAAGCTTCATTTCCACGTCGAACTTCCCAAAGAGGTAAGCCTTCTTGGACTGGAAGCCGGCGCCGGAGAGACGGTCGAGGGTCAGCGTCAGGAGCCTGCCGTCGTCGGAGATATTGGCATGATCATGGCCCCACGTGACGTCAACATCCCGGTGGAAATTGGCGCCGCAACACGCCAACAGGGAGCTGATTGTAATTAGGATAAGCAACGGGGAATAGGGCGACAAACGTTCCCTAATCCAAATGCTTTCTCCCATTAATGACGAATTAGCGTTAATTATAATTAGCTCTCTCCCTCCGCCTCCTGGTGTGTGTGAATTTAACGTCGACGGCCTTAATTACCTTGCTTGATGATCGGGAACTGAAATACAGAATTAATTGGAAGAAGAAGGGAAGGAAGTTGCAACGGCCTAGTCGATGGTTTGGTTACGTTAGGATTTTTCTATAAGCGGATAAATTGATTACGATGATAATGGCGAAGAGTAAATTTTGTATGTATTGCGTGAAGATTTGTCTCCTTCCTCCATGCAACGCGAGGGGGGTCAAACGGTCAACCTATGGTGGACAGATGTATCTGCTGCTTCGTCAATATTTGGCCTGAATCTCAAGAAATTTTATTATAAGGTTCGGGGGTCAATGTTTGAGGTGTATACATTTTTTTTTTTTTTGAATAAAGGAGGCCGAGGCCAGCAGAACTATCTGCATTACAGGGGGTCACTGGACTCTGCAAAACGAAGTCCCGTTTAAACAGATGATGACTCAAACAGCCACAGATAAACCTCAAAAAGGACAGTTCCACAACCCAACCAGCAAAACTAGAGAAACTATTCTCCATTCTGAACAACCATGCGAGGGAAGCTCACGCCCACCATGTCTTCCAGCAGAATCTTCTCGAGGTCCCTTGGTGGTTCAGCTAGCTCATGTGTACCGAAGGGATAGACGAGACTGTGATTCGAGAGCCAGTCCGCTGCTCTATTCCCCTCTCTGTACGTATGAACTATCCGGACCACCCAATCCTGCGTCATCAATCTACGGATCGCCGTCAAAATCGTGGAATGCGGATGCACCGGGTCTGCTCGCGAATTGATGAGGTCGATGGCCAGCTTAGAGTCAGTTTCCAGAATAAGGAATCGAGAACCTAGCTGCCACGCTATGGTGAGTCCCTTTTGAATACCCCATAATTCAGCAAGAATGGCAGATCCCGAACCGATCTTGCAACAAAAGCCACCAATCCAGTCACCCTGACTATCACGAAGAACTCCACCTACAGATGCTAAGCCTGACTGGTCCTGAGCTGAGCCATCCGTATTCATTTTCCTCCATCCTCCAGGCGGAGCTTCCATCCAATCAGTTCCTCAGTCCTCTGCGGCTTCTCGGTAAAATTGAGGCTCAAGCTAGCCCTCTCCCAAGTTAATAACCAATCCCTTGCCTTGGAGATGACATAGTTGATGAGAGATGACTCTGCCAGCTTCTTTCCCTGAAAGATAAAGTCATTCCTATACTTCCAAATATACCAACAAGTCAGAGAAAATAAGCTTGACCAGTCTTCTTGGACGTCCTCCGCCAGCCTCTCATCTAGGTTCATTTTGAACCAAAGAGCTTGATCAGCCGCAAAGAAGTTCTGGGAGGACTGGGTAGGAATCAACTTTTGCCAAATCTTCCTAGAGGTAGTGCAGTCACAAAGACAATGAAGATTTGTTTCAATAGCTTCCTTGCACAAGGGGCATATATCATCGGTGGTTAAATGCCGCAGCTTGCGCACCCCATTTGTAGATAATTTACCTTTACACGCAAGCCAGATGAAGAAACGGACTCTCTCAGGGCAATGGAGCTTCCAAATCTTTCTCCAATCTAACTGCCCCACATTAGTTTGATCCGGAAGCAAAGCTTGATAGGCAGACTTGGCACTGAATTTTCCATTAGCTGTGATCCTCCAAAACAGGGTGTCACCATCACCGGCCAGGGGGTCCAGCCAGATCGACCGGATTTTGTTGATAACATTGGGGGGAAGGTATTGCTCGAACTCAGCAACATTCCAACCTCTGTTCTCTTCCCAGTAATCAGCCACCTTTTTTCCTCTTTCGGCCAAAGGAACATCGTCAATTGCCACCTCCATAAGAGGAACCTGCAACACCCATAAGTTAGACCAGAAGTTAGTGCCATAACCAGTTTTAACATTATAAGCTATTCCTTTCCGCAAGAGTTTAACAGTTTTGGAGAAACTGTTCCAGGCAAAGGAACTTCCCTTTACTTTTCTCAGAATGTCCAGGCCTGATCTGCTCCTCCCATATTTGCTCTTCATGGCTCTAACCCAGAGAGCTCGATCATCGGTGACCAAACTCCAAGCCTCTTTGGTCAACATCGCCTGATTAGCCAGTTTGGTAGGTCTAATCCCAGCTCCCCCTAGTTGTCTCGGTAGAGTCATATGCTCCCAGGCTATAGGGTGGAACTTTGTCTTGCCATCTTCTTCCCCCCATATGAACTGTCTGCTGATCCTGTCAAGAGAATTACAAACAGAAGCAGGTAATTGCTCGGTAAACATGGGATAAATGGCCATAGAAGAGGCAACCGACTTCACCAAGGTGATCCTAGCAGCTACTGAAAGATGGTTCGTTTTCCAGGCAGCCAATTTATGTTGGACTCTCAGAATAAGTTCCTGGTATCTCGCTTGAGTGATCCTCCCGTTGATGGCTCGAAGCCCCAGATATCTGCCTAGGTCATTGGTGAGGGTAATCCCGGCCCTAGAGCTGAGTCTCTGAGCTTTGTCTGTAAATATATAATATAACTATATAAGGGAGTAATGAAAAAATTTAATAACGAAAGTGAAATTTATTCTCCATGTATCATTTAGTAATTTTACATATAATATACAATATATAAATATATATAGTGGCTACTTCGGTGCACTCACTTTTTTGGGTGCGTTCAATGCACCCAATTCTAAAAGTGACAATAATACATTGAATTTTGAATTTTAATTGATAGCATTAGTCTAATATGATGATATAACATTAAATCACAACTAATCAATCTATTATCCTAACCCCTTAACCTTCAATTTTGAATCCCAAACCAAAATCTCAAATTATAAACCTAAACCCTAACCCGCCTAAATCTCTAAATCCTAAATCTATCAAAATAAAGTAAATCTTGAATGAGTTTTTTAAAAATTCATGTGTTTCTTGTTCATAATATCATAAGCGACGATTGATACCGTTTTGACATGAATCGCATGCTCGGAATGACGATTATGAGGCAAGTGCATTAAATGCACCCGAAAAAGTGGGTGCACCGAATACGCCACCATATATATATATATATGATGAGTTGTACGGTACCTAGATAAAATTCGGGGTAACGCACACCTTGAGTAAGAAAACGCTATCCAGACCTTAAATTGACTGATCTTTCGGACATTATACTATACTCTAACCTTAAAAGATAAAAACTTAGGTCTTAATTCTCTAAATCTTATTCTCTGAGATCAATTTAACTAGAAACAATAATCGACAGTTATGATTCATCCAGATACAGACAAAAAATGAATGCACCATTTTAGGGTTTATAGTTTATGATTTAGATAATTAGGATTTAGGGTTCACTCATTACGGGTTAGGGTATAGTATCATGCTTATAAATTCTGCTAATTCGAGGTATAGATAGCGTTTTCTTACTAAGAGTATGTGGTATCGCATATCAAATGAGGAAGGGGGAATAATTAAGATAAAAGAACAAAAATACTGGGCATATAGAGAATGTATAAGATAGGAGCCTTTATAATTTATTCATTCATTATAAATAAAAATAAAAAAGCGATTATTATTTTATTTGGCCTTGGCCAATAGATTTCTATGTTATGTATAGCCGTGCCTAAGGGCATATCGGTTGAAGTAGATTCTTCTTTTTATCAATCAAAACCTCTTCCCAAACTGACAAGTTTCTTCCAAAGCATACGGCTTTCCGGGTATAGATGATATCTATACAGATGGCGGTACTAGTGTAGAAAGTAGTAAATTAACTTGTATAATTTGGCTCATCGGACCGACTGACTGAATCTCATCGACGACGAGCACGTAGTTACGAAGCGACCGTGAGAGTGGCGGTGACACAGATCAGAACAACGTTGGAATCTTGAAGCGACACCTTGAGTGTGTAGGAGCCCTGTAAAAGATCGAGCCAGCATTAACCAATCTGACCGCAGCAGTACTAACTTAACAATGTTTAGCAGTGACATAACTAACTTACCGGTCCGACGGCTGTAGGTAAGCCGTTGTTGGAGCGATAACCGGTCTTAACCGTCGGATAAGTTGAGTATAAGATAGTGATATAAGATTCAGCATAATCTTATGGAAATGATAAGATCGGATGTATGTGCAAGAGAGTGGTATAAGATCCAGCATAATTTTTTTCCAACAACTTGAGTGTTCGAATCTCCATGATCCCCAATATTAACAGTTGATTAAAGCATAAAGTATATTGTAACATTATGTATACGTACTACGTACCTGTTGGGCCCTCGACGTAGACAATCAATGGGCCGCCTTGAATGATGGGATAGGAGAGACCTCAAGAAGGGTAATCGCCACAGCATAGGAGTTTGCTCTGCATGCAATCAAATGCTACGTTACAATATTCTTAGGTACGGTGGGGAAACTTCTGATACCAAGTGAGTGAGAGAGAGAGAGGGACCAGTAATAGTGCAGTTCTGGAAAGTGCGGGACTGAACTGCTGAAGGTGTGAAGAGGGTATAGATGACGGCGGCAAGGAGGACGAGGATGGAGAAGGCTGCAGGAGTCGCCATTGGAAAGATAAGATAAGAGGCTGATGTATCTCTTTTGGAAATGGCCGTGGTAGTAGTGACTTCTTTCAGGCTAAATTGCAAGTTTGGTCACTCGAATTGTTACAAAATTTTACGTTTGGTCACTCGAATTCGTTTATTCTATTCGTAGTCACTTAAATTAGTTGAACAATCCAAGTTTGGTCACTCTCCGTTAACCTCCGTCAGACTCCGTTAGTGTCGTCAGTTAACTGCTGATGTGGCTAACAAAAATGCCTAGTCACCCAATTTTAACCCAAGAAAAAACAAAAATTGACCCGCCGCGTCAGAAAAACATGTCATCTCATATAAACACAACCCAACCCACCAAACCTAAAAAAAACCATTAACCCACCCAGAAATCGAACCCGTGACCCATCCACCCTTCTTCTTCTTCCTGCTTCCGCCACCGCCGAAGGGATTTCCCCTCGATCTCCCTGCTGCAGCCCCCGCCGCCGGATCCAATAACCCCCAAACCGTCGACCGCCAAGAGGAACAGTAGCAGCCCGCACAAATCACTGACACGACTCCTCGAGGTTCCCTACACGGCCTCCGATTTCATCGATTGGGGCGACCACATGACTCCCACACTATCCCCAAGCGGGACATCTCCGGGCGGTGGCGCGAGCTCCACGGAATCGACGATTGGGACGGCCTCCTCGATTGATTAGTCTGCTTCCTCTATTGGTTTCGTCTCCTTAGCTATATAAAAAAGAAGTTAACATTGAACGAAGAGGAGCAGAGCAACAACAACAACAAAGAAGTCCAACAGGCAGTTAGCTAATCGAAGAACGATGGCGGAGAAGCAAGTGATGGTGGTGGGGATCGACGACAGCGAGCACAGCGTCTACGCTCTGCAGTGGACTCTGGATCATTTCTTTACTCCCCTCCCGGCCGACGCCTCCCTTTTCAACCTCGTCCTCGTCCACGCCAAACCCACCCCCACCTCTTTCGTGGGTCTCGCCGGCCCCGGCGCCACCGAAGTGCTGCCGTATGTGGATTCCGATTTGAAAAAGATAGTCGCCCGAGTCGTGGACAAGGCCAAGCAAATCTGCAACGATCACAAATCGGTACCTTCATCACTTCCCTTGCCTTGTTCCCTCGCTCTCTGTTTCGTCTATGGCCTTGAATGGAAGCGTAGTCACTCATTTTTTTGAAGCTTAAAGAAGCAGTATTCGAAGTAGTGGAAGGGGATGCTCCTGCTGGCTTGGCTCGCTCAATAGAACTCCAGTCTTCAATTAGCAGAGGAAAGACCATCAATCCATCAATCCGCCGGGAAGCTGGGTCGATTGGGTCGAGGAGGCCGTCCCAATCGTCGATTCCAAGGAGGCTACTGTTCCTCTTGGCGGCCGATGGTTTGGGGGTTATTGGATCCGGCGGCGGGGACTGCAGCAGGGAGATCGAGGGGAAATCCCTCCGGCGGTGGCGGAAGCAGGAAGAAGAAGGGTGGATTGGTCACGGGTTCGATTTCTGGGTGGGTTAATGGTTTTTTTTAGGTTGGGTGGGTTGGGTTGTGTTTATATGAGGTGACATGTTTTTCTGACGTGGCGGGTCAATTTTTGTTTTTTCTTGGGTTAAAATTGGGTGACTAGGCATTTCTGTTAGCCACATCAGCAGTTAACTGACGGCACTAACGGAGTCCGACAGAGGTTAACGGAGAGTGACCAAACTTGGATTGTTCAACTAATTTAAGTGACTACGAATGGAATAAACGAATTCGAGTGACCAAACGTGAAATTTTGTAGCAATTCGAGTGACCAAACTTGCAATTTAGCCCTTCTTTCACGAACACATTATGAAACGAGTCAGAAATGGGATTAGGGATTTTGACCAAGACAAGAACAACAAAGGGGAAAAGCGAAATGATAAGGAAGAACTTTTCCTCTGACTCTCGACAAAGGTAAAGAGAAAAAAAAATTTGGGCCAAAGAATGTCCAAGCCCAAAAGCACTTAAACTAACAGAAATAAGCAAAATGTAGTGGGCTTTCGTGATTTAAGCCCAGACGAACATAAAACCCAGGAGAGAGAGCTACAGCTTCTCTTCTTCTTCCTTTAGCAGGATGAGTTGCAAAGACGAAACCCAGGAAAGCAGGGGAACTCAACCAAACAAAGAACAGAGAAAAGAAACAGAATTGAAACGAGAAGAACACATGATTTAACGAGGTTCCCAAACTACTGGTCACTTTTCGTCTCGGAAATAGCATCTGCTATTTTCTGAGAGACTCTTTTTTTATTATGATTTTACCTATCAAGCAAAAGAAAACGAAACAGAGTATGGAAAAGAAAAAACCAAACAACCACCACCACAGATCACAATCCGATCTGTAAAACCCTCAACAGTTAAGAACCTCTTCCCCTGAACTGTTGATACCCTTTGTAAACCAAAAGATAAGCCCTCTACCGCTCTCCTTTTCTCCGTTACAAAACCTTTTTAAGCTTCTTCTAAATACACAGAATATATAGAAGACCAAATCAACCGTTGGAGAGGGCTAGCCGTTGCTGATTTTCAGCCAAGATTGCTTCTTAAGAGGAAACCTTCCTTTGCCATCTGATTCTTGAAAACTTACCAAAAGAAATCAATCGGCAAGACTCTTATTTCGTTCATCACACATCTGAGTCAATATATAGGGTTTTTGGCTGTATGACTAGATCACTTGATGAGTACGTAAAGCAGCCATCCATTTAACAATGACCCATAAAAAATAAACGGCAACGTAGTACAACAACAATAATAATCATTGTACGTAATATTAATGTGAATTGGCAGATCTTGACTTAAAAATGCCCGTTAGGTTGCTCAATCTGTGTGGTTACTGTGATAGCCGTTTTAACCGGTAGTATTTGGTTAATTGGGATAATTGGTTTGGTTTGGTTAAAAAACTTAGCTTATTTGGTTTAGGTGGTTTGGTTTGGTTTCAGACACTCCCAACCAATCAAACCAAATTAACCAGTTAAGTAATTATCCATATATCTAATGTATTTTATATACACATACTTAATACTTCACATAACCATTCAAGAGCTAAACATCCCTTCCTTTTAGGGTCATCAACAACAAAGCTCAATATTGTTATATTTGTATTTGTAGAGTGTAGATTATTATATATGAACCCCCCAATTTAGATAAAACTTTTACAATATATTAGATGAAAACTTGAAAAGAAGATTTTTAACCTATGATAATTGCTAAAAAACTTTCAATTCACACAATCACAACAATTAATTAACTCCATATTATTGACATTATTTTTTGTTAGGTGAATACTTATATTGACCGTAAGATAATTGTATTAGTTGCATGTATTTCTATAATGGTTAACTATAACGATGTGTTCATTGTAATGTTTAATTCATCATATAAATTTGCAAATTGATGCATTAGCCGAAATTTTCTCACTTAATGATAATTTGATGTTATATTGGTTAATCTGGTTACCAATTAACCAAACCGATTAAACTTTAGTTTGATTAATTTGGCTGTTGTATTAGTTTGGACGATTTGGTAATGATATTGTATTCCATGATTAATAGAATTTTAACTTGTTTGATTTGATAATTAACATGGTAACCATTTGAACACCTCCAATTACCCATGGCAGAGGGAAAAAAGGGAAAATTCAGTATAGAATACACATCCAAGCTCATCCATATCTTTATAAAAAATGGTATATGGTTAGCACACAAACACCCTGTTGTGTAGTATTACAAAACTACAAATATATAGTTATGACTGGAAAGAGTGTGATCTATTGGTCATTTTTGCAGAAGAGTAAGGAGGAGTAGAGGTTTGGGGGACGGTTGAGCGAATCTTTTGGAGCAGGTACGAATCTCACGAGTCAGTTAATACACTTTTTTTATATAATCAGACCTGTAATTTATTAATGCTTCATAGGCACAGAATCCAGAAATGGTAAAAGAGAAATAGGAGGACGGGCTACCCAACATTCCTGGGAGTCCCAATTGCATTTTGTGTGGGTGATAACACTGAATTTGCACATGTTTTTACCCCTCATTTCTTAATTGTTTAGCTTGGTGTTTATCCTACTTTGACCTATTTTGCGCTAGGTTGTCTTCCTTTGTCACATTTCAGGTCCTACCATGTAAAGTGAAGCATAGACGCAAGTTTCAAGTCAATCGGAGATCAATTGGCGACTCGGGGGATAAACTCGGAAATGACTTAAGGAATAATGGATTTATACCTCATTTTATTGTCAAATAATCATGTAAAATTATCATGAAAAGAAAGAGGACGAGACTACGAGCATTTGGGATCAAACGGCACCTGAATCGGGGGTCAAACGAGCTCAAGGAAGCTTAGGAGTGCATACAGGAAATTGTGCACGGTCGTGTAATATTGTGCACGGCCGTGTGAGTTTTCCAGGGGGTTTGCACGACCATTACTCCAATTTGCATGATCGTGCAAGTAGGGGATGCAAACACCCAAGGGATGAACCAAAGAGAGAGAGGCAATCTAGAGCCATTCTTGGAGCTATTTTGGATTATTCTTTACCATTGAAGATTGAAGATCTGGAAAGTTATACTGTAATCTCTCTCTTCTCTATGGAGTAACTTCCCTTCACTTAGGTTTTGAGGAACCCTATTTCCATGTGTTATGATCTTTCTTTTAAGAAGTTTTGGATGCTATATTATTTGATTATAATCGATTGAGGCATGATTTATTGAGTCAATTGAATCCTGATCAAATTCTCTTGATTTCTGCTTTAACCGATGATAGATAATATCTGATTAGGTTAAGAGAGCTTCCTTGATTGATAATGGTGAATTGGATGTGCGAGAGTTAGTCAACTCACTTACTTGTACTGTAATTCATTCCAGTAGTGGAGATCTGTGTGAATCGCCTTAGCAGTCTATCCCGGTGAAGGCTAGTCGCATGCCGGGTATTCTGTCTAAGAGGGCTTTGTCAGTTTAAGAGATTTCAAGCTAATTTAGGATCTTCCGCAGTTTAATCAATAGTAAAATAACCAAAAAGGAATGACAATTTGGACCTAATTGAGGAGCTAGGGGAATCATACCTAAGTGAGTTCCCAACCTGTAATAAGTAGAGTAGTTAGTAGAGTAGTTTAGTAAATCAATCCTTAATCTAGTTTGCTAGATAATAAACTGAAGCTGAGTAATAGTAACTCTAGAGACCCGTGGATTCGATATTTATTACTTGTGTCACTATACTGTAGTCCCTTTTATTGGTTACACTTGGCCATTGTAAGGAGTTGTGTTTTAGCGAGTCAGTGGGCCGCTCCATTTCCTTCTCTTTTCACAAAGCTCCACTGGACCGGGTCCAAGCTAGCCGCCTCTTCTTTCAATTATCTGATCAGCGTTCCAATCTCTATTCTCGAAGTCTCCGTCTTCTCCAGCCCGAGAATGCTCCCTGGCAATCGGTTTCGATGATGACCAAGTTGAAACCATTTCTCTCCATTTGCTTGAGACCAAAGGCCATGGCCTTAATCTCTGCCATCTATGGAGTCCATTGAATGCGCTCTCGGCCAACCGCTGCCATCAAGAAGTGGCCTCTTTCATTTCGAGCAACAGCCCCATATCCCGTCCCTTCATCCTTTAGTACTGCAGCGTCGACGTTCAGTTTAATCCATCCCACCGGCGGAGGTTCCCAGGTGACTCTCTCCCTTTGCTTCAATTCAACTTCTTTGCAGTGATAAGACTTGAATTCCTCCCAGTAGGTTAGGGCTTTCCCTACGATTTCCCCTTCTTCTGCTTTCCAATTATTGAACAGCTGGTTATTGCGTTCATTCCAGATAGTCCAGAGAAGCACACCTAATTGACTTAGAGTGTCATCATCCACCGTTTCCATAACCTCGCAAAGCCAACTACCAAAGGATAAATTGGGTTCTAGCTCGAATAGTGGTCTGAAACATGTAGGTTGCCAAATCCTAGATACACACTGACACTCTTTGAAGATGTGGTTCCGAGTTTCCTCCAAATTCCAGAATGGGCATTCTGTGGGGGCATCCTTTTCTCATTTTTCTATGTTCTTCCCTGTAGGCAGGATGTCTTGTATTAGCCTCCACAAGAATATCTTGATCTTAGGTGGGATCATCAGCTTCTAAATCTGTTTCCAATTCATTGGGTCATCGGCCTCAGTTTCTATCCCCACCGGTTCTGTTTCATCATTAGCTTCTGGTTCATCTTCCTCAAAGATCACCAGAGTGTTGTTTAGCTCTTCGTAAACTAGCTTGTAAGATGTTTTAACAGAGCATATTCCACTTTTTTCGAGAGCCCATACATTTGTATCTGGTGCTGGTTGGCGTGGGATTGAAATTCCCTTAATGCGGGTTCTGTCTGTCTGATTGAAAAGGTGATGTAGTAAAGGCTTCTTCCATTGTTTGAGGTTGTGATCAATGAGATCAGTTACTCTCTCTAGATTATTCTATGTTAGTCTAGTTGTAGTTATTTTGAAACCTGTATCTTCAGCACCTGCCATCCATCTATCCTCCCAGATATCCACTTGTGTCCCATTCCCTATCCTCCATCTGATTCCTTTTTGAACGAAGTCATGAGCTGTCATGATACTCCTCCAGGTGTAACTGGGGTTTGTTCCCACATGAGCTTGTAATACATCACAGTTTGGATAGTATTTGGCTTTTAGAACCCTCATTGCCAAAGAGTTTGGATTGAGAATTAGATTCCAGATCTGCTTCCTTAGCAATGCAAGGTTGAAAGCTCTCAAATTCTTAAATCCCATGCCTCCTTCTG